ATACCAACCTCCCTAAAGAGAATGGAATACAATGTAATTAGACGTCCTCTCTTCCAAACGAGAACCAGTGGGCGAACAATGGCACAGAAGTTTGTTTATAAAAAAATACAGCAAGTTCACTTACTGGAACAACAATACTGACACAATCTCAACTACGACTGTCCAAACAACAATAATGAGAACAAATTTCCCTATAATTTCACTGGACATTCTCATTGAATCTGGATTCTAACAACAAGCTGTAGATCCATCACGACACAACCACGAACGAGGTTATAGAATTATGGTCTAGTTCGGCATTAAGTGCACTTATCTTTACTACTAGAATAATAGATTTAATCCTGAAACTGTAGTTTTGTAGTGATGTGGCTGCCTATTCTATGAGATTTTATAAGGAAGTCACATCATTGTTTATATTAACTCACGCTATCGCGGCAGTCAGCAGTACGGTGCTTAGCGCTTCTGAAGAACACATTTGGTTAGAGATTAAACAACATATTTAACATGAAAAGCAAAAAGCTACATCTGGTGACCATGCCCGCATGAATGAGCCGCTCCGTACCGGTTACATGTTCCCGCGTTCATCATTCTTGACATTTTTTATGATTTTAAGTGCTCGATATGAACCTTCTCATTCATCGTATGTTCGGTTTCAGGTCTAGTACAGTTGAGAACCAATACCACCACAAGGTCACACTATTATCATACTGGCGCCAGAAAATGGGATGTCTACACCACATATCCAGGCACGATTCAACACCATCAAAACCGTTATTAACCTGATTAATAACATTCTGGAAACTATAAACTTGAATGGTAATACAGCAACTCTCCTACAATCCATTTCGATTATGGTTAATTCTTGTTGAGCCTTTTTATTCACATACTTAACAGAAAATGTTATTCGAACAGTAACAATTCACCTATTTCTTTGTACTATTATGACCCCTACGATTATATCCCTATCTAGCCAAAATGTTAACCGCCTAAATATGGCTCGACGAGTTATTCTCCTTTCCCATGAATATATGTACTTGAAGCTTATTATTAGCCTTTGTCTTGCCTCTCTGTGCCTTGATTCGGTTTGACTATAAAATTGCTTCTGTATTCGCTCACTCACACACATTCACTTCTCTGCGCCGAATCCGAACGATATGTTTGTAGCTTTGTGACCTGTGTTAACCGCTGATAAACTGTAGTCGCCGCTTCTTATTGCCTTCTGACTTCGAACACCGTTGGTATTCATATAGTAACCGTTATCATGCTGATTAATTAACGTAGCTCAGTCACTAAAGTAGGAATTTGTAACTGTCAATTCAATAGTAGTTACTCGCTTACGCCTGTTACTCCTAATAGAGCATAGGCCGCCGACCAGCATTCTCCAACCCATTCTGTCCTGGGCCTTCTTTTTTAGTTCTATCCAATTCTTGTTCTTTTTTCTCATATGTCTCCATTTCCAGGCGTAATGTGTTCTTCGGTCTTCCTCTTTTCATTTGGCTTTGGGGATTCCATGTGAGTGCTTCCCTAGTGAAGCAGTTGGGTGCTTTCCTCAATGTGTGTCCTATCCACTTCCAACGCTTCTTCCTGATTTCTTCCTCCACTGGAATCTAGTTTGTTCTCTCCCACAGTTGGTTGTTGCTAATAGTGTCTGGCCAACAGATCCGAAGTATTTTGCGTAGACGATTGTTAATAAATACCTGTATGTTCTGGATGATGGCTTTCGTAGTTCTCCAGGTTTCCGTCCCATACAGTAGAACTGCCTCGACATTTGTATTGAAAATTCTGATATTGGTGTTGGTTGACAGACAGTTTATTTGAGTTCCAGATGTTCTTCAATTGTAGATATGCTACTCTTGCTTTGCCAATCCGCGCTTTCACATCTGCATCAGATCCACCGTGTTCATCAATGATGCTTCCCAGATATGTAAGGGTTTTTACATCTTCCAAATCTTCTCCGTCAATTGTGATTGGATTGGCGCATGCTGTGTTGTATCGGATAATCTCGCTTTTCCCTTTGTGTATGTTTTAGGCGGAGTTATCATTTATTGTGAAATACTTAGACCTTCAGAATTTGTTTAGTATATTCTCATTTCTTTAGGCACCATGACTTTATTGTAATAGCCGAGTATTTAGCGCTTTGCAGCCTTATAGCAATGTATGTGATTCTTTTTTACTTCACCAAATAGAATTGTTCAAGTTTCGGGAATATAAGTATGCACCCGCGTAGAACCTTGGAAAACTTGAACGTTCCGACGACTGTCTTTAGAATTAGCTGACTGACAGCACGTGACACACTACCCAGCCAGAATTACCAATGATATCTGGCGTAGCAGTCCCATCACTGTTTATTACGACTGGTCGTATGGTAAGGATTAGCGGCATAGCGTCTGACTATTTTTAAGAACACCATTGGGCTAAATATAGAATAATATATTAAATGTGAGTAAAAACAAGTTATACAGAATGACCATGTTTACGAGGCTGAGCCATGCAGTCCGACTGAATGAATTGCTCCCGCGTTCTGCATTGTTGACCTTCTCTCCGAGTCGAGTGTTGTACATCTATTTTCCCAGTTATCTCATGTTCAGCTATGAGAATTGTGTGGTTATGACCAATACCACTGCAGTAAGTCCGTTTGAATATATAATTCTCAGCATACCTGTCCAAAAGTACTTTTGATGTCGTCACATCTAACGGGTTGTCTTGGCCTCACTGTTTATCCACAGATTGATCTGTTGAAGTTACATGAATAAGATGGAAGTTTGTACTACCATGATCAGTTTTGCCTTAAGAGATTAGTTGCTGGAAATTCTTCGAAAGCAGAGGTATGACCTAAACGTGCCTATTTATTTCATTGTCGAGCTCCTGAACTTACAGTTTCGAGGAATCCTAGTTCTTTTATGAGATTTAGTGCCAAGCTCCAACAAATTTATTCCTACGACCGCCCTCATGTTCAGTCATTATACTTTCTAAAGTTGCAAATTCCAAAACACCATATGGTGCCGAAACCAATTGTTGATACGTTATAAACCACCACAGTAACATCAATATCTCATTATCCTAACGCAAACGAATTAAAACTTGACTGTAAAGGGTACTTACAATACCTTCATGGAATGTTATCATCGACAGGTCAAATAATCACAAAATGTTGGAGATACTAGACTGCCGGACAGCCCATTCAGGAATAAGCCATTTTTAAGCATCACACCGATTCAAAGCGAACACCGCTCATTGAAGATGGTTCATTTTTTTGCGCTGGTTTGTTCAGCATGACGTTTATTTTATTATATTTCCACTATATTCATAGATTCACTGCGGTTTTGTGCTCGATTGGAGAACACTATATTAGTCCTTATTTTACTTGGCCTCATCGTTTTATGATTAATCTTGACAGATTATCAAGGGTCAAAAAATTGAATTTTTCGGCTGTCAAAACAAAGTTATGGTTGTTTTCGTCAGGGACACGTTTTCTTTGGCTAGTTCGATCGTGAAAATATTCCCGAATAACAAAGTGGCTGTATAGCCCGGTGGCGCTATTGGTCTAGTACCGCAAATAATACCCCATAATTTCACTTCTGCTAATCGTTATGGGAAATAAATATATAAATTAATCATAGCGCACCACATAGTAATCTAAGCTATGAGAGCTTGAAGCGATTCCAAAACCATTATCAGCGATGTACGAATGTCTCATGTGTTCTAAAATTATGAGTATGTGCAGGTTTAAGAGAATTAACCCCATCCTCCCAGCGCCTGATTACCGCATTAAATATCATCAGCAGGCCTTCTTTAGACAACTCCAACCATAGAATTTGCGGTGCTGGAAAGTTTTACAAGGCATTATGAAGATTAAGTAAAACAGAAAGTGTTTCAAGTATATGCCAGATATTCTGACCGAGGGAATTTCAAACAGCGCAACCTCATTTAAACTGATGTTCCTGTTAGCCTAGTAAAGGAATAAGCGGTATGATCAGATCCCGATTAGCATGGTCATGTTTCTTTTGTTACACGCCAACTGGAGATTATTCAGTTTGCTTACTTTGCTTGTAGCAGTAAATAAATCCCCAAAATAAATAGCTCTGTAGGTTTACGACATTGGATGCTGACTACATGTTTTAATGGACTCACCTAGCTGAAGGTGCTCGATCATGCATCCGCACTAGATCACGTGTGGGAACGCCGTGCTCAACATCTACTACAATCGCTAGCCAGATTAGATCAGACGATTCTCGATATATTGACAGTCAACAAATATATCTTCCGATCACCTCGATTCTGTCTTTTGATTTCTCTTGGTGAGTACGAGTTATGTTAGGTGTTACTGGTTAAAGCGTTGTCAAACACTGAATACCTGTGTCATCTTAATGCTCAACTAGTCTGTTTGGTCAAATAAACAAGAGGCGTCTGCACTTGGGAACTTGACACCTTTACCTAGAGCCCATGTATCTAAATGGCCACTATGTCTGGCGGGGCCTATTCGACTGAACTTCCTACACAATGCTTTCCACTTCATGGGTCCACGTCTATCATATTTTATTATACTACTAGTTCCGCTGGCTAAATGACTAGTTTAAACTGGATCTCGATATACTTGGTCCCGACAAGTTTTGGTCTCTCCGGATATTCATGGATTTGAGGTGGTAACAGTCGTCTGTTATCTAGGATTACCTACTTGTTTACAACTCGCAAATAATGGTCAAGTCCATCAATATTATGATGGCTGGTAGGCTTCACTCACTGAAAGGCATTTTCCAAGCATCCCTTAACATGAAGAAGCCGTCGTTAAGTGGTTTGATCGATATTTCAACTACCAGAGACGTGTTGCCTCAACTAACCCGGTCTGTGCATACCAAACCGCTAAAGTATGAAAGCTTCTAAAGCATGAGAAACATCAGTGAGACCTGGCTACAAAGTATTTAAGTCCGCTTAACATTGGATTTACTTCAGATTCATTTGCTGAGATTTCAAAAATACATTCTTTCTCTGTAATGCCGCGTAACTTAAGTTCGGGAATATAAGTTGAATCGCCACATCGATATTCTATTTCATTAGCGCTTACATGGCTAATTAACCCATAAATTCCCTATGTAGGATTTCAGCATCATAGTACGTCCAGTACGAAAAATTAATCGGTGTTATGCGACCTTCCGCATGGCACACTGACCTTGGCTTACCAGGACTAACATTGAACAGTGAGATAGAAGTGCTGGTTTTGAAGCTGTCGACGTCACGAATAATGGAACAGGGACAAAAATTAAGGTATTTGCGAAAATTTTCACTCATTTAGTAGCAGAGACATATATGGAACACCTCAGGTAATGATTCCCCCTCAAATGATGTATTATGGAGGGTACCCTGTAAATCAGGATCAAGTCCAAAGTCCCTATTTCGGTTATGATCATAATCCCTTCAATAGTTCACCAAACTTTAGCCCAAACCAAGATACCGAACAATCATCTATAAGCACATTTCCTGCCTCCAATTCTCAACCCGAACTAGGTGTTAAGTCTGAGGAGCCTACAGATTTTCCCGTTAATCCTCCATTAATTATTGGAGAAAACAATAGGAGAAATAACCAGAATATTGTAAACAGTTCACCCAGTTCTAGCTGCAAACCAGAGCTTCTGGTCAGTAGCGTTGATAATGCACTTAAGGGGACAGGATCATCAAAAACCGACAATACAGTACTTCCGAAAATAGGAAAAGTCAGTCATTCGGCCCATCGAACCAAGCTACCTCAGCAAACACTTACATCTAGTAGAAGTACTCAGAAAGTTCATTCCAAAGCTAGACCCAAAAAACCCCACCAAGAAGTGTCCACCGAATCTTCTAGCAAGAATTTGCAACGTAAGTTGTAATTTTTGACTGGTTTATGATTTTTACGTTTATGCATTGTTGCTGATTTCTGCGATTTAAATACATACTGTCTTTCAAAACTTCGTTGAGTTCTAAGTTCATGTACTAAAGACAAGTTACTCAATTTTTTTCGGTTCATTTGAACTGTTTAAAAACCATTGGCTTACTCCCATAAACACGCGATAAACTTAGTGTCAAATAACAAATCAGTGCTTTCCTAATTAATCATGCTAGGTTCCATACTTTCCATATGTGAAAGTAACTGATGATTAAGCTGTGAAACGGTCTCTTAAAATTCAGAAGGCGTCACAATTAGTATATTAAGTACATATTCAGGTAATGATCTTTCATGAAATATTCATCTGGTTACTCTGTTCACTACCATTTATTAGTAAAAGCTGTGCTGGTACATACATATACTTTAGCCCGTTTTAATCGAGTTTTAGGTACTTCTTGTTTCGATTTAATATAACTCATGTAAGTACAGGTTTACATATCCGTCTTAGAACCACAGTGAGGACTAGTAACACTGCCCCGTCCCTCAACACTCAGACCTTTAACTGATTGATTGAAAGCTGGACACTTTAACCAACAAGCCATTGCTTTGTTAATATTTTAAATGGACTCCTATCCAATACCACAACTCAGGTATCATCTCGATATTTTAGCTTCTCTGCTTATAACCTGAAAAATGTCTAAGTATCTGTTAGTCTGTATTATCTCATAACAACCAAATGTTACGGTTTCATTTCCATCAACACCTCTTTATTTTACAAACAGAACCCAATCCTTTTGACCACTGGTATCAAATGATGTCACAGTACTACAACCAATTTTATTCACCGTATCAAATGGCTCAGCTACCGGTGCTACCTCAACAATCCACCTCTCACCTTTCTATGAACAAATCATCAAAAACACCTGCAAGTCATCCACTTAATCCTACTATAAAAAATGGACCTGAAGGATTTCAAATACCATCTGTAAATCAAATAGGATCATTCGACTATGCAAACTACTACTATCAATATTACGCTGCAGCTGCACAATTATGGTCTGGTGGTTATCCATATCAATTTTTTGGAACATGTATTCCTGAAACTCCACGTTTTTACAATACTCCACACATAAAAGCTTGGATTAGTTGTCCTGGCGTTATTGTTCAAGTTAGTTATCATATATTTAGCTAAAAAAATAAACTTAAAAAAAATAACTAAATCATACCTTTTTTAGGTTTTACCTTCAAGGCCAAGGAATGGAGAATTTGCCAGAGTTGAAATAATTAACCTGTTTGAACTTGTCAATGAAGCTGTGGCTGATGCAACGAGAAGAGCATCAGACAACACTACACGTACTTGCGACTCTGAATTTAGCCAACAACAACAACAACCATCTGAACAAAATGCTCTTTTTAATATGACTGATTCTGGCATGCAAACTCCAAGTCGACTCTCTAGTATTGACGCTGGAGGTGCTGAAGACGATGGCGAAGAAATACGTGCCTGTGTCATGGCTACTGCATGCTGGAACCAAGCGGAGCATCAGTTTTATCCAGGGCCGTTAAATCGTATAGGTACTCTAAAAGCTGATGTACTTGCTTTCTTACATGAAAAGCTTACGGAGATTCAAGATCGGCTACCTATCGATTGGGGATCTGCTGGCTTACTAATAATGTTCCTTGAAACCTTGATTAAAAATAATGGTGTAAGTTGAAGTTTCAAATTTTGACCTTAATTTAATTTCACTTTATTGTCGTTTTATAGAACAAAAAACAGCAATTAAGGCATAATTATATGGATTAAATATTCTTGATTTCTCATCAGCTTCTTACAACCATTGATATATACTGAAGTGTAGCCTTGAGGTATGATTTAGGTGAAACAATTGACATTGACGACCTATGGAATTGGAACGACAAAGATCATTTGTAGCAATAATGACAGTAATAATATTTGTAAATGAACGGGTGTGAGGTCACTTAAAGGTGGAATTCAACAAACAATGAGATGAAGTAGTAATTAAATGAAGTCTGGAAACAGATAGAACGATCGTGTCATAACCATAAAAGTTGTGAAGAGTACTTAAGTTTCAGACCACTTGAAAATGGACATAATAGAAATTTATTTATGAGTTGGTAATTGTCTAGAATTAAAAATTACAGGGCTATGTAAACTTTTGTCAAAGGAAAGCTAAGAAGAGGAACTCGCCTTTATTACACAACGTGTCTGCATGAAAATGCATACGCACCGAAATTCATCGAGAAGTATGCCAAACCCAACGTACGTGATAAACACGATATAGAAGAGAAAACCTGCTTCTTATATATACGCTTTAAAGGTGATGAAACTACTGTAATGATCAACCACAGGGTGAGTGCCATGAGGAAGACTGCTTATCCAACAGCATGACTGACGACGTTATGTGGGACGAACTGCTCAATTAAACAAACAAAAATTGACAAGTCCTTTTTTCTCAGTAACTCCAACTGCATTTGCCAATTTATATGTAGGTAGCAAGGAGCATACATTGGAGGGACAGAGAGGAGAGTATATATTCGCATTTCCGAGCACGTTTTATAGAGTCCGAGAGTGAAAGGTTCAGTGGTTTTAAATAGTGAGTAGCTCTGAATTTAATTGATACCTGGCATACCATTGACGTCCCCTAATCCTTCAAAACTAATAGCATACAAGAAACAAAATGCCTCTTCGGTTTGCCGAGGCAGTAGCAACTAAAAAACGCAAACCAGATTTGTATCCATAAAGAGACAGTAATCAGATTATTACCACCTTTGTAATTTCATAGCTTGATTAATACCACCTGCAATTATCACTTTTTTTTACTATTATTATTATTGCTTTATTAGAGTTTGTTTCATTGCGGTTTTCAGTAAACCAATTCTCACTTTATGTACCCCGAAGTCATCCTTCCATTCACTCAATTCCCTAAACTTATGTAAACGCTTCAGGTTTGATTTAATTATTACACGGTCAATCTTATTAGTTTCTAATTCTAGACAATTACCAACTCATAAATAAATGTCTATTATGTCCATTTTCAAGTGGTCTGAAACTTAAGTACTCTTCACAACTTTTATGGTTATGACACGATCGTTCTATCTGTTTCCAGACCTCATTTAATTACTACTTCATCTCATTGTTTGTTGAATTCCACCTTTAAGTGACCTCACACCCGTTCATTTACAAATATTATTACTGTCATTATTGCTACAAATGATCTTTGTCGTTCCAATTCCATCGGTCGTCAATGTCAATTGTTTCACCTAAATCATACCTCAAGGCTACTTACTTACTTAATTACGCCTTTTACTCCTAATAGAGCATAGGCCGCCGACCAGCATTCTCCAACCCATTCTGTCCTGGGCCTTCTTTTTTAGTTCTATCCAATTCTTGTTCTTTTTTCTCATATGTCTCCATTTCCAGGCGTAATGTGTTCTTCGGTCTTCCTCTTTTCATTTGGCTTTGGGGATTCCATGTGAGTGCTTCCCTAGTGAAGCAGTTGGGTGCTTTCCTCAATGTGTGTCCTATCCACTTCCAACGCTTCTTCCTGATTTCTTCCTCCACTGGAATCTAGTTTGTTCTCTCCCACAGTTGGTTGTTGCTAATAGTGTCTGGCCAACAGATCCGAAGTATTTTGCGTAGACGATTGTTAATAAATACCTGTATGTTCTGGATGATGGCTTTCGTAGTTCTCCAGGTTTCCGTCCCATACAGTAGAACTGCCTCGACATTTGTATTGAAAATTCTGATATTGGTGTTGGTTGACAGACAGTTTATTTGAGTTCCAGATGTTCTTCAATTGTAGATATGCTACTCTTGCTTTGCCAATCCGCGCTTTCACATCTGCATCAGATCCACCGTGTTCATCAATGATGCTTCCCAGATATGTAAGGGTTTTTACATCTTCCAAATCTTCTCCGTCAATTGTGATTGGATTGGCGCATGCTGTGTTGTATCGGAGAATCTTGCTTTCCCCATTGTGTATATTGAGACCTACTGCTACTGAGGCTGCTGCTACACTGGTCGTCATCTCCTGCACTTGTTGTCGCGTTTGGGATAGAAGGGCCAGATCATCTGCGAAGTCTAGATCGTCCAACTGCATCCTAAATGTCTACTGTATCCCGTGCCCTCTTCAGATGTTGACGTCTTCATGATCCAGTCGATCACCAGGAGAAAGAGAAAGGGTGAGAGTAGGCAACCTTGCCTAACACCGGTCTTCACTTCGAACGACTTTGTCAACTGTCCTCCATGCACGATTTTACAGTTTAATCCATCATAAGAATTCTGTATGATATTGACTATCTTCTGAGGCACGCCGTAGTGTCGAAGACGGTTCCATTGTGTTGTCCTGTCCAAGCTATAAAATGCTTTTTCGTGGTCAATGAAGTTGATGTAGAGTGATGAGTTCCATTAAATTGATTGTTCCACAATGATCCGTAGAGTTGCGATTTGGTCTGTACACGATCTGTCCTTACAGAATCCTGCCTGTTGGTCTCGAAGTTGGGCGTCTACTCAGTCCTTCATCCTGTTTAACAATACTCTGTTGAATACTTTTCCCGGTATTGAGAGAAGAGTGATGCCCCTGTAGTTATCATGGTTGCTGAGATCGCGTTTCTTCGGCATTTTGATCAGAAGTCCTTTTTTCCAGTCCGTTGGTACTTGTTCTTTATCCCAAATCTTGCTGAAGAGAATGTGGAGTATCCTTGCAGTTACTCTTACATCTACTCTCAGTGCCTCTGCTGGAATGTTGTCTGGTCCTGTTGCTTTGTCACTCTTGATTTGTCTGATGGCCATACTGATCTTTCCAATTGTTGGTGGGCCAACATCGATTGGGAGGTCCGTGGGTGCTGCTTCGATGTTGGGTGGGTTTAGTGTTCTACCCACCTGTTTCGTTCTTCAATGTTGGTGATTACCTTGCCTTCCTTGCTTGTCACTGGTCGTTCTGGTTTACGGTGATTTCCAGAGAGTTTCTTTGTTATGTCATACAGTTCTCTCTTGTTTCCTTCTCTTGCAGCCTTTTCCGCCGTCATTGCTAAATCTTCCACATATTTACGTTTGTCAGTTCTGATGCTCCTCTTCACTTGCTTGTTCACTTTTATGTATTCAGCTTGTACCGTGGCTTTTTCTGCTTTTGTTTGGCTGGTATTGACTGCTGCCATCAGAATGATCAGGTCCTTTGTTGGGCACTTCTCAATGATTGATTGCAGCCTCTCATAGAATTGATCTTTAGCGTCTTCATTTTTGTCGTTGGTAGGCGCATAGCATTGGATGACATCCATTGAAATGCCCTCTTTCTTTGTTTTGAAGGAGGCTTTGATGATCCTTGGTCCACGAGATTCCCATCCTATAAGTGCATTTTGTGCTTGTTTGGACAGCATCAATGCAACTCCTTGTATATGTGGAGCATTTTCTTCATCATGGCCGGGGTATAACAGAAACTCTCCTGAAGCTAGTCGTTGTTGTCCAACTTGCGTCCAATGTGTTTCATTGATCTCAAGCACCTATAGGTTGTATCTTCTCATTTCTGCAGCAATTTGGAAGACTCTCTCGGTCTCCCACATTGTACGAACATTCCATGTACCTAAATAAATGGTTGCTCTGGTTGTCAGAAGGGGTATCGACTTCGTGACTTCCGAAGGAACTCGGCTTTCATCGTGAGGCGTCATGGTTTTTCTAAATGAAGACCTTCTGACTCCCAGGGCAGAGTTTAAAAGGTCTGAATAATATTTTTTGGTTGGCGTTTTCTAGCGAGTTAGTTTCCTACGGGATGGGGTCGCTAACCCCATGCTCAACCCTTCCCCTTTATCCGGGCTTGGGAGCGGGAGTAGCCCCTGAAGGGACTCAAGGCTACACTTCAATATATATCAGTGGTTGTAAGCAGCTGATGAGAAATCACGAATATTTAATTCATGTAATTATGCCTTAATTGTTGTTTTGATTTTATTCAGATTCGTAAAGGGCTCCAGTTTCATGAAATATCGTCATTGTGTTTACTTTCAGTTTGATCTTCTGGATTTAGGCTAGTAGGTCATTTAACGCATATCAACACAAATCAGGCGACTTGTGTGGCGCATATGTATTGAGTGCCGCTTTGTACCAATATTTATGTGTTCAATTAAATAAAAGTAAATAGTACTTCCTAATTAGTATATTATCTAATACCTCTCTATTTAGAAGTTTTACTCATATAAACAGTAGTAGTGTTCTTTCACTAATGGAAATCACCAAAGGTGTACGTACGAAATTCCTTGAGAAGATAATCCAAACTCTTGTTACCCATTAATTTTATTCACATGCTTGAAACCTTAACGTAGCTTTGCTTAGTGACCAACATATTATAGACACTTTTTAAAGTCAACAGATTACACTAATTGAAAACGTCAAGAAGCATTAAAACATTTGTGATTGTAGAGATTTGGAAATGAATTGACCGAAAAGAGAACTGTTTACTAAACTATTTAATTTTTTTTGGATTGTAGGAGGATACATGAATGATACTTAGTGAGAGAAAAACCACACCTACTTTGATTAGAAAAATAAAATCCATAGCTTTCTGGAGTCAGTAGCTAAGTGGTTAACGCGTTGGTTTTGAAGCGAAAAGCACTACTTTCAAATCTCATTGAGTATCAACTTTGGTGTGCAGGTACATCCATGTGATGAGTCACAAATAAGATGAAATACCCATTTTAGATTCCACTGCTTGCTAGATTCCATCTAATCTACGTAAAGCGAAACCTGTATTCTAAAGTATCATATATATATATATATATATATATATATATATATATATATATATATATATATATATATATATATCTTAATTGACACATTTTAGCTTTTAGTCAGGGATATCCACCATACTGGTGAACATTTCAGTGGCAATTAGTAGAAGCTCTCCACTTAAGTTATTTTTAAGTCTTAATATTTAATGCTATAGAGCCTACGTGTTAGATCTGAATTGATTTTTTATATTTTGTTTAGTAATATATTCTCTATCTGGTGGTAGTGTTTTAGATGGGAATGAATTGATATTTTCTTACATTTCGATACCACAAATGTTCTTTGAATTTTCTTATTCCACAGAATCTGCAGACATCAGATCTTGTAAATCTTTTACTGGAAGGACACAAACCAACTACCGACAGTTTCAGGAGTGGCTCCTATAGATATTCTTCTAGTTCTTATCTAGGAGTTCAGGTGCCTGTACAATATTCAGGTACTTTAAACAATTATAATCATCAGGTTGGGGACTATGCAAACGAATCGTTAGCTTCGTTACCTGGGAGTCAAGTTACAAGTGGTCGAGAAAGTCCCGAATCACATTTCGAAATAGACTATGGAAGTAATTTATTACAGCACAGCAAAGCAGCTTCGGAAACTGGAAGAATGAATTCTGTCCAAAATATTATTCGACGTATGGGAGGAGTCCATATAGGCGAAAGGGGGTCGCGCAGCCAGGAGTCGGAAGGCAAACTTCTGGATCGTTTTCGTGAAGTAAGTACTACAGTAGACCTGTTCAATAAATACGTGAAGTGAGCTGTTTAGTGTGTAGGTGAAACATGAGAAAAATAACTCAAGAAGTCCATGAAACATTTCGAGTTGTCAATGAAGATAACGGATTGAACAAGTGGATCAATGATTTCAGTTAGGGATATGCACTTTTTTTAGCTGACTGTCCTATGTTGACGAAAGCATCCGAGGTGTTATGGTTTCTCGTACTTTCCGATCATCGATGCCATTGTCCGAATAGTTACCAATGAACTGAATACTGGATTATGTATAAGTGTAAATGGATTACTAGAAACGCTTTGTATTTATATTCACATCTCGTTCTTTACCTATGTTAAAGTTTTGACTAATTAATTTGTAGTTATCTCCGTGTAAATGAAAATTTTTTTGGTTATGATCATATTAAAAGTTAACACCATCTGTGAAGTGCACACAGATACATGTATTAAACACGTGTAAAGATGGTTGACTGTTCAACCTTTTGATCCAAAGTTATTTCAATTAGGACTTTCAAATATCCTAGTACGGCTAAAGGTGGGGAGATTTCGCTTTCCCTCTCGAAATGCTCACATGGCCATGCGTATATAACCACTACCAGAAAACTCCTACTCACTGCCTTCTCGTTACAGAGGTGTTGTTCACGAAACTGAGAGGACGGAAAGCAAATATTTGGTGTTTAAAGCGGATTGGTGGCTACGGAGCACCCACCTAAGGGATTTGGAAAACCTTGATTCCAAACGAATGGTGCACATGGGTTCCAGTATTCTGGAGGAAAAAATAACGTGTCAACATACTGTTGGCCGCCAGCTACCATGGGACTGCATCTCCTAACGTCGCTCCAGTGACTTGTGGATTAGACCTCTAATTTGTTTAAATTTATCTACTATTTCTTACGATCATACTTTGAGTAACATGTTCGATATATTTATCGCATATAAAGTTGTAACGTAAGTTATTCGTTTTCAGATTGGTAGATTATTAGCGTTCTCCAATGAATTTTTCATGTAATATCGTTTCTGTAGTTCTACGTAATTTTATAGCAGAACCGTCGATTATGCCGAACCGTAGCTTCTACTTTGACGGGATAAACCGGTTCGTCTACCGTGATGACCTAATTGAGCTATTATTGCTTGAAACATTTCTTTTTGAGATCATATCGTACCACCCAGGCCAGTTGAATGGCAGTCAGACTAAACGCAAAAAAACTTTGAGTTCAAGGCCAACGTCATAAACAGATTAATGAGTTATCCTTGCAGTAACTACTATCTTTAGCTATAATTTCTTCCCATCTACGATTGTAATAAAATCTCTAGTAAAAATTACACTAACATTTATTCTCAGTTACTTAATAGGGGAGAAATGCTCACAAGTAATGAGTTTTATTATTATTATTTATATATTTATTTAAACACATAAGCATTGATAGGAGGCACCAAATAGATATGCGCCATATTTCAACATTCGATTTGGGTGAGGGCTGGAATACTTCCTGAACGCCCAAACCGAAGCAGTTAGTTTTCTTAGAGGACCACTCCCTAAGCCTTTCACCTAGAGGTTTAATCCACAGGGCAGTAAAGCAACGTCAGGAGATGCAATCGCATGGTAGTCGGTGACCCACAATAGTTTCATATGACATTTGTTCCCTTAGGATCCTTGAGACTATGTACACCATTGGTTTGGAATTAGGGTTTTCCAACTTCCTTAGGCGGATCTTCCATGATGAACATAGGACAATTATTGAACATTGGAGAAGTTATAGTCAACCTCAACTATCTTTACCAATACTTTTCTGTCTTATATTACCAACATGTATATGTATGAATTTTTTTCTCAAAAAAATAGTTGTTAATGCATGGCCTACCAATAAAAGCGTTAGAACATGCTTGTCGATCTAAACTATGGGGTCATGCATTTACATTGGCTCATCGGATGGGTCCTTCAACATTTGCAAAGGTAATGGATCGTTTTCTAAATAATGACATATCAATATCGGATCCTATTCTTACATTGTATCAATTAACTGCTGGAGAAATGCCACAATCTGTTAATACAGCGGCTTATGGACGAGGTAAACAGCGGATTCATTTTGTATTTACGATGTAAATTTTGTAGAAGAGGCTGATCTTAATACATTTATTAACTATTATGTTTATTGCGGTATTTCTTAGTGCTATGGTTTCTCTTATGACAATCTAGCTACTTTTATTGCTTAGTATTCTTTATCACTACTTCACTCGGTAAGTCCCCAAATCAAAACGCGGTTGAACAGGAACGTAATTATATTCCAAATAAACAAGGTTGAATAGGAGTAGGGACCACAATAAGAAAAACATTTACATATTTATAAGTTTTGCATAAGAAGATTCTAGTGTCTTCTTTAAGTATCCGTTTGCGCTGACTGGTTAAGAAGTAGTCAATCAGCGTACCTCAACACAATCCTGCACGGAACACCCTTTGATCTAATCTATGTCCCGCTAACACATATCTTCTGTTTTATTCAGATCCAAATACGGCAGTTAGTTTTACTGTTCTCTCCAGGTAGTTCTCAGATTATTCTCATGGATCTGTCGTCTTGCATTGATGTAACGTGTAGAGCCACCAGAACCGTAACACTAATTCCTACCTTTCCATTAAAAAATCTTGTAAAATTAAAATCAACCGGTGAAACACAAGTAAAAGACACAATTCAATGGTATTGGAAAGCTTCGTGTAGTCAACTGTAGATTGGATTTATTTCAAAAACAGACTCATCTGGGGTTCAAAATCTGTAGAGGAGGACCATAAGTTCTTTCAAGGTTGCTGCCAACTAGTATGAAATCCTGAGGGCTTTCTAAGCCTCTTGCTTACAGTTAGCTAACATTGATCCACGGAAGGACACTGTAGCTACTGTTAAATTACTTAATATGATCTAAAGATCACATCAGAAACGTGATTAGTAAGATTTGATAGTCTCAAAGAGATCTGGAACGCAATACTTTTGTAATGTAACTCATTTACTAAGTACAGGTTCGTTCACACGGCTCTGAGTCACACCCTGTGTGTGAAGGCTAATGATATACGGCTGTCCTAGCCGTAGTGTGTGGGGAAAATCTTTAAGACACGATGTAGTGGTTGATAGTCGAACAACCTAACCGCCAAGCCACCCCCATCAGTATTTCGACTACATAGAGTGATTGATCATTCCTCACAGTTTTGTCTTTGTCTTTAAGGGTTCCCTATAACCTCTACGACAAATTGTCTTCGTACAGATATGTACTTTCATGCTTGTAAAGCGATTTGAATCTCCCACATACCTTATGTCCAATTGTTTTTCGGTTTAAATTATATTGTGAATTAAATTTACTTTTTCCCTATTGTATATTATTCCTCTAGGCATAGATAATGGTGATTGGAGACCACATTTAGCTATGATATTGGCTGGTCACTCATCGCAATCCGACTTATCACTTTTGGCCTTGGAACGTCTTGGTGATGGTTTACTATCACGAAAACATGTTTATGCTGCACACTTATGCTATTTACTGATGAATTCATTGAAAAATATTGATGATAAACAGAAAGAATTTCGTTTACCTGGTAAAATCTGGTTAATTGGTGTCCCTCCCACTTATATTACTAGTGGTGGTGATGTTGTCAACAATACTTCAGATGGATTCCAGGAGGATAATATTGCGTCAAATCATACCTTATCCCCATTGTTCGCTACTTCAGAAGCTATTCAACTCACTGAAATATATGAATATTCTATCCAGTTGGCTAACCGTAAATTTCATCTACGTCAATTAATGGTATGTTTAGTTTTCTTTAATGTTATCTATTAACTAGAAATTTAACGATAGATCAAATTGGTGAAAATACTTGATTTTCTACCGTCAGGTCCTTGGTTTGAATCCCACATAGTTGTCAAATTTGGTTTGAATATTTGAGTAGTTTCATTAACTTTTATGTATATACATACTAAGTTTTGCTTAATGCCATCTACATAAAGCTTGTTGGTAAATAAATAGTATGAAGTGAAAATTGAAAATTCATCTAAGTGTTTAAATTTTACGATTATACTGAGATCAACGAGAAGACTCAAACAAGCAATATAAATGAGTTAAAATTGATCTCGTTGCACATGCCAGTGACTATCTGGATCCAGTAACCAAGTGAATAACGGGTTGTGCATCTGAAGCGAAATGTACTGAGTTCGAGTCTCGATGTGAGTATCAACATTAGAGTCCAGGTACATTGAGTTGATGAGTTTCAAGTAGAATGAAGGACACTTCCTGGCTTTCACTTATAGCCACCATTCCAACTCTAAATAAAATACTTCTAACTTAATGGTAATATCGATGCGTTCCGCATAAGATACATATATGCTAAAATAGATTGATTGATTGATTGATTGAATCCCATAACATTAATGAGAAGATTCAAACAACCAATACATATGGTTTAAGTGATTAGTAATTTTGAATTTTATTCAACGAATTTTGTTCGGTTAACAGATCCACCATAAAAGATAAAACAATAATATGTAAAAAGGAAATACATGGGAAGTCATTTTATAGCGTCAAACTAACATTAAGTACCATTGATCTTACTATTAATGAAAATCTCGTCAGAAAATTACAGCGAAATCGCCACTGACTTCTTTTCTAATTCATGTTTGGTAACTTTCCGACTCACTACATTGTACCGGATCTGAGACCACCACCACTGTCATTGCGCATCCAACGTAACCATCCTCTATTCAGTGGTGCCGACTCATCAATTGTACATCAAGCCTTACGGTTCGCAAATAATGCCCGTTGTGAAAACCTCTCGGACGAAATGTGTAAAACGTGGTCAGGACTGAAGGCGCCTTCTTAAAATGGTAGTAGCACTTACTAACACTTCACAAGTTATCATGTCTGTAATAGAAAAAAATATACAAGTTGTCACACCTCAACATTACGTACACCGAATGTGAACTACTCTTAGGAGATAACAATGATTAAACATGAAATCATTGACTAATAGCTAAAAGCCAAAAGGTTCCATCGGAAATCGAATAGGGAACTGCACGCATAGTAGTGTTGCACATCGATTTTGTTTATAACCTGTTTTGCGTTCCTGTCGATCCCCACTGTGGGGGGGGGGTCAGATTAACGCAAATCACCACTATCCTCTTCATCATAAATTAATTTATCTTTTACGTTACAATATGACTGCCAACATCTACAAAAGCATCTAGATGTACAGGCTTTCCTATATAGTGCGAGATATATGTCATACTTACCGACACTACTTGCCAACTGATTGAAAGTGGTCTAAGTTGCTTGTGTATATCGTCGTATAGGAAGACTGTATTACCCACCTAATCAATATTATCAGTAAACTCTTACTTCAGAGTCTTTGTATAAACATTGTCAAATAAGTGGTTCATTAAGGCTAAAACGTCCGATTCCCAACTAGGTTGAGTCCCACTTTGGATCTAGTATTATTATTCCTTACTCACTCACTCACTTACTCACTCACTCACTCACTCACTCACTCACTCACTCACTCACTCACTCACTCACTCACTCACTCACTCACTCACTCATTCACTCACTCACTCACTCACGCATATACATACTTGGAGTGTGACTCCGTAGTCAAATACATGAATTTGTACACCCAGTAAATAAGTTGTGTTTCTTAAAAAAAAGTCTTCCATTTTAAAATTGACACTTAATATCATGTTTATTGAAGTTTTTCACTTACAATTTTCTTTTCAAGCCTTTTCGTCTTGTTTATGCTATACGACTTTTGGACGCTGGTTTTATCGAGAAAGCTTATCGTTATTTAACAGCTATCGGGAATGAGATTCTTACTGAACTTGATGAAACAGCACATCAACTTAAGCTTCAATCAGTATATAATGATAATAATAATAATAATAATAATACATATGTTGATCCATTATTGTACAGTTTAATTAGTAATTGTCTACGATTAGCTGAACCATTACAATATCATCCAGAAATTGAAAGTTTCGATATATTACAATTATCAACTAACAATCAAATAATGGAAGATTATAGTTTTGGATTTCAATTTAAAAATCCATCATATTCTATGCCTGTACAAAATAAAAATAAAAATTGGATTGAACGATTAAATCAAATCTTTAATCAAATGAATCAAAAGGTATTAAGTGTATTTTGTCGTTGTTGTTGTTGTTTGTTTGTTTGTTTGTTTGTTTGTTATTTGGACTCCATGTGTTTGTGTTGCACCATGAAATCAAATGAAGATTTAAATTTAGTTGGAAGTATCCAGTAAGAAACTGTGTTTGATTTCGGTTTTGTGCTTAGTAATTGATGTAAGTTTAAATCTCACAGGAAGTATTAGTTCCTTCAAAATTTCAGGTATATCTTGTTGACACTGATTATTGGGCATATAGTAGCTAGTTTCAAACTACCTAATTGCAATCCGCGTGATTATCGAAACTACTGTTAAGAGATTTTTATTTTATTTATTTGAACACATATATATTGGTACAGGAGTGCGCCAAACATATATGCGCCACACAATTTCAGTTCATTAATTGCTTGTGGGCTGCGTTACTGCCCGGGTGCCCAGACCGAAGCAGGTGGTTCCCTTAGGGGGCCACACCCCGAGCCTTTGACCTAAAGGTCTAACCCAAAAGGCAGTGGAGCATCGTGACGAGATGCAGTCCCATGGTAGCCGGTGACCGACGATTGGTTCATACGCCATTTGTTCATGCAGGATTCTGGAGCCCATGTGCACCATTGGTTTGGAATCCGGTTAAAGCGCCGGACATTCGCTTTTCGTCCTCTCATTTTCGTAAACAACACCGCCGCCACGAGAAGGCAGTGAGTAGGACTTCCCTGGCAGAGGCTGTATACGCGCGGCCGTGTGAGAGTATTTCGAGAGGAAGGGCGAACCCACCCCGCTCTCGGTCATACCAGGGCGTTTGGGGGTAACATAGCCCGAAATCGTTCTTAATGACTTGGACCCATTCACTCTTTGTCTTCCCTTTGATCTTAAGTTTCTAAATTACATTTTAAATTTTCTATATTTCATTAATTCATATTTTCGTCTCGAATTAGATCTTCTATGCCCAGTTTTTTCTATTACCACTGATTCTGTTACGATTATCTACACTATTGTGGGATTCTCTTTGAGAATTTTATTTCACTGTACTAATGAGATATGACAACGTGAAGTGATGTATACATGTACAAGGTTCTGTGTTGTGTGTGATTGATGAGCACCGACTTTCACGAAAACTCGGCCAAGTAGGGTTTCTTGTTGACTATTTCCAACCATCTAGAATCTGAACGTAATGTACGACATGTTGAGTTACTCAGACTAATGACCATATTGCAACTTGGTCGATAGAATTCAATCAACACCAGATACTGCACGTTACAAAATAACTACTCAGTTCAAGTTACCTCCATACCACATTACTATCATTGATAATACAGTTATTTTGAATTATTTAATATATATATCTTGTTAAATTCATCATATTTCAATTGAAATCATGAACCGATCAATATTAAACCACCATTAAAAACCTGGAAGCACTAGACGGCCATTTCGTCCTAGTATGGGACTCCTCATCAGCGCGCATTCATGATCTTACACAAGAGATTCGAAAGCAGGACTTTCAGTCTCGTGCTCAAACACTTAACCTCTAGACCACTGAGCTGGTATTTTATTATTATGTTGTGAAAACTTTAGGTATATTGGTTCCAGGTTTTGGGTTGTTTATAATTTACTCTCTATATTGTTTATGTTTCAAATTCTAATTTCTACTAATTACAGTAACTTGTGTGTATATATAATATATAATATTAAGTTGAACTGTTGATTGTTTATCTATATTTTCAGATCAATCATCCACGCTACAAAACATCTGTAGAAAAACCAAAAGAAAATCCCAGTAGTGATGCTCATTTTACTAATGAAGCTATGAAAACAGAATATTCCGATCATAATGATTCTAATGATCCTCATCCTCCTCCTCCTCCTCATCATCATCATCAATCATCACTACCACCTCAACAACAACAACAACAACAACAACAACAACAACAACGTCAGTATCATCAATTTAATAAAGAATCAAATTATAAACCATCTGTTGAATATAGATCTAATGTTCAAACACATGAGTCTTCTTCATTTTTATCAACGGATAATAGAGATCATCGTAAAGTTAATATTTTTAATTCAAATAGAAATGATAACAATTATATTCCTCATGAAGTCAATAATAATAATAATAATAATAATAATAATAATAATAATAAGGAACCAAAAATCATCTCAAATTATTCTTCTATACGAAATAATAAAAATGATCAATTGGTAGATCCTATTCAAAAGATGAATTCATCTAATCAATCATCTATTCATCAAAGACAAGTTAGTACTTACTTTTTTTCTATAATAGAAATTCATTGTCACCTATAATCTAAAGCGATTGGTCCCTTTTATAAATTTTAATAGAACAATGAAAAGACGAAGTTGATCTGAAAAATGTGTAACGCAAGGCTGTCCACTTTCTCCATTTTTGTTTAACTTCATCATAGACCTATTGATGGAAATAACATTCTCGTCTACTGAATTCTCGGGTATTGATCTCCTTCTAGGAGGTTCAATTATCGACTTGAAATACGCAGATGATATAGTCCTGTTTGGTGAAGACGCTGATAAAATACAGAGTCTTTTGGTAGCACTAAGCAACAATGCCAAAATGTTTTGAATGCGCTTCTCTCCCTCTAAATGCAAGCTGCTGCTTCAGAACTGGTCTGCGTCAACACCTGAACTAAGGATAGGGAGTGAAGTAGTCGAACGCGTTGACAACTTCACTTATCTTGGAAGTCTGATCAGCCCTAATGGGTTGGTGTCTGACGAAATCTCAGCACGGATCCGAAAAGCTCGCTTGGCTTTTGCCAACTTACGTCACCTATGGCGAAGGCGAGATATCCGTCTATCAATAAAAGGACGAGTATACTGCGCGGCAGTCCGTTCTGTTTTACTTTACGGCAGCGAAACATGGCCATTAAGAGTAGAAGACACTCGTAAGCTATTAGTATTTGACCACAGATGTCTTAGAAATATTGCTGGCATCTGCTGGGATCACCCGGTAAGTAATAGGGAGGTTAGACGCAGGGTATTAGGAAATGATGGTAAATCAGTTGATGAGGTTGTTAATCTTCATCGACTGAGATGGTTGGGCCACGTGTTACGTATGCCTGAACACCGATTACCACGACGTGCAATGCTATCCGGTATTGGAGATGGTTGTAAGAAAGTTAGGGGCGGCCAAACCAAAACGTGGCATCAGTGCTTGAAGTCACTAACTTCTAGTCTGAGCCATGTTGGTAGATGCAGACTACTTGGTTGGGGTCCGCGTAATTAGGACTCAGTAGTTAAGTGGATAACGTGATGGCGTTTGAAGCGAACGGTACTGAGTTCGAGTCTCAGGATCCAGTATCCTGAAGGAATAAATCACGTATGAACCAGTCGTTGGTCACTGGCTACCATAGGAACGCATCTCTTTACGATGCTCCACTACCTTTTGGGTCAGACCTTCAGGTCGAAGGCTCGGGGAGTGACCCCCTAAGAAAACCACCAGCTTCGGTTTGGACACCCGGGCAGTATCACAGCCCTCACACATATCGAATGAGATTTGTGTGGCGCATATGTATTTAGTGCCTCCTTGTACCAATATCTTTGTGTTAAAATAAATAAATAAATAAAAATCAAGGTGAAGAATTAAAATTATGATTTATAATTGATGATTAAGGTTAAGAATTAGATTTATGGTTTTTATCACGAATTGATCTCATCTATAATACCAAAACACTATTTACCCAAAGTGGATGAATGAATTTCACACCAAAATCCGAGATTTGTTATCTTATATTTGATTGGTTCGTCCATAAATTCTAGTCTATCCAAAAAAAATCATTCATGTTTTACACAAATCTCACTCAATAATCTTTTATTGTTATGTGATTAGGTGAACTTAGATCTATACTCTGGATGTGTCAGATGCCTAAACTGAAGTAGGTGGACAGAGTGTGTGTGCGTGTGTGAAGTTCAAATCTGCAATAACTAATCACTGAACTATCAATTCATCACTCATAATAGTATTTCAACAGTAATAATCTACACGCTTATGATGAGATAGAGAAGATGGGACTTTTAGGATAGCTTTGTGATTGTGAAACTGGTTTTCGAAAATAAAGGATGTTCATATGTTACTAATGTTCAGTCATAGGTAGCTTCAAACCATTGCTCTTATATTTTGGGATCATAGATTAAACCCAAAGTACTAGGGAAGTGTGGCAAATCAATTGACAATCTAGTGAATCTTTATCGACTGAAATAGTTAGGGTATATTATTACGTATCCCCATCCACTGACTATCTTGACGCGTAATGATTACTGGCGTGAGAATAGGTTACAAGAAAGTTGTGGGCGGTAAAACCAAAACATGATATTAATCTATGAAGAAGTTGACTTTTAGAGTGACCAATATTAATAGGTATAGACTACCTGATTGAGGTCTGCATAATCAATGACCAGAGATTTAGGGTGGAATGGTGGGGAAGATTTGTAGATCATGTGGATGGTGTTGGGAAAGTTTCGTACTCTGAGACTGATGGTCGTGGAGCTTTCATTGTTCTTATGAACATCGTCATTACCATAAACTTCATGTAGAGGTGAAGTATTAGAATCTCTCTACATATGACTAACAGCTTGTCCTATCGATTTTGATTGGTTGTTGTTGATCCTTAACGTTTTATTGTCTGCTTCTTTATTTTGATTGTATCTCCCTTTGATCTGATTCTCCGCCTTATATTTATCCATGATCTTTCTAATTGTTTAATAAATTAGATTGATTCCTACATGTTGGTTGATTTGCATAATATGGCCCAAAATCACTCTTAATGGCTCAGATCCATTCACTCTTTGTCTTCTCTTTGACCGAAAGTTTCTAAATTACATTCTAAATGCTCTTTATTTTACGAATCCATATTTTCGTCTCGCATTAGATGTTCTATGCCGTTTTTCTATTACCACTGATCTTGTTACGACTATCTCTACTATTGTGGGATTCACCCTGAGAATTTTATCTCATTGTACTAATGGGATTGCATGGGATCAACAACCCAATCCCGTAGAAAACAAACTTACTGAAAAATGCTAACCAGAATAAACCATTTAAACTCGGTCCTGGGAGTTGAAGGGTCTTCATTCAGAAGAATTATGACGCCTCATGATGAAAGCCGAGATTCTTCGGAAATCACAAAACCGATGCCCCTTCTAACAACCAGAGCAACAATTAACCTCGTACTAATCCTGATGGTCGACTTATTCTCCTCCACGAGGGATAACAGGCGTAAGTAATTAAATACTAATGAGATATGACAAGTAGAACTGATGTATAAACATACAACTTTCCATATTGCTTAAGCCTAACTAAGTGACACAAGTCGGCACATACTTTCCTTTTTTTTTTAAAAAAAAAGCAGTAGACTAAGTATTTATTTTACCATAATTGAATACACAGATTTCTTTTTTTGTGTGAAATAATTGGCAATGGTTATTTTCGTCAATAATAAACACTCTAGTCAATTAATAGGGAATGGGAACTTGGACCGATGCATATATGTGCATGGTTCTACGTTATAGATGACTGACTGATTGGTCTAACTATCAATATAAGGAGAATTCATCTAAGAAGACTTTATTTTTGGCGAATTGATTTACTATTTGGAGCTGTGCATTCGTATTTATAATTATTTTGTATTTCTTTTAAACCATGATCAGTTACTAGTATCCTTAAACAATTTTTCATGACTTCAATTGTTAGTTATGACCTTTACGTTGTTCCTTTCTTCTTCGTATTTGTCAAGTGGACAATTGTCTTTCATAATTCTAACCCGTAAATTATACTCATACCTTCCTATTCTTCCGTAACCAAGTGATTATTACGTAACCTCACTTCATATTCGGGAATCTTAAATCACTTTATGATGCCACCTATTCTATTCTTCTATATACTTATACATTTTGATCAAAATGTGGGTTTGTGGAGATTGTAGTAATTTTAATAGCTGAATTCATAAGTCTATCTAAACTAAACCAGACCATCATTAAAAACCTGGAAGCACTGGATGACCATTTCGTCCTAGTATGGAACGACTCAGCAGTGCACATCCACGATCTCACATGCAGGACTCGAACTCAGGGCCTTCAATTTCGCTCACGATTGCTTAATCTCTACTTATACATTTACTAAATAACTATAAATATACGGATGTACAGCTTAAGTAAATGACTTCGTCGCTAAATTCTCTTTATATTCTATTCAGTAATTTAATGGAATGATATTAACTATTCATATCGTTCTCATATTTCTAGTTGTTTAATCATGAATCATTCAGTCCACAATCACCACCTTCATTATCATCAGTACCATCTCATGAATACTCTTATCAATCAGAATCCTATCGTCAATTATCTTCTAATTCAACATCTAATCTTATTCAACAACATAATTATTCTATGAATTCACCTGTTCAATTGTCAAATTATCCATTGTCTTCACAATCAGATCAACCAATCAATTCAATGTTGCAATCAACATTAGCAGTTTCAACATCATCCTCATCATTATCGGTAACAACTACATTGAATGAAATGAATAATTCTATTTTTATGCCTATCAATCATCAAACTGATTCACAATTAATGATAAATAATGATAATAGTTCATTAAATTATTCTACATTATCTAATCAACAACCATTTGATTATTTTGCAAATATTCAAAGTGTAAGTTTTTTTTCTTTCAATTTGTATAATTTGATTTTGATTGATTAATTATTATTGAATACCTGGAAGCATTGGTCGTCTGTTTCGTCGTAGTATAGGACTCCTTAGCGGTGCGCATGCACGATCAAGCACATGGGGCTCCGACCTAGAACTTTCGGTTTCATGCGCGAACTCTTGATCTTTAGACCACTGAGCCGGTATCCAACGGCATTAATGTGTAACTTCAATTGATCCATGATCTTTCACAACCCTTTATCCATTGTTTGAAGTGGATAGCTATTTCACATTCGACACGGATTGGACTCCACTGTTTCAAGTCCCGTGTGCATTACTGAGAAGTTGTATATTAGAAAGAAATGGTCGTCCAATGCTTCCAGATTTTCAATGGTGATCTAGCTTAGATTGACTCGTGAACTCAACTGTTAAAATACTACAATCTCCACAAATCCCCATGTCGATATTATTGAGTAATTAAATTTATAATAATGTTGTGTTCTACTAGTTTTTTTATTTAATTATTTTGAATAGATTCAGTCACGTTCTCGTACAGTATCCGGTAATTCTGAAAATAATACTGTTAATATGATAAATTCCACGACTGTTGATCAATTGGATTCAGTAAGTTTTCATCGTACTAACACTACTATTACTATGTGTATAACCATATTAGTAATTCTAATCATGTGTTTGTAGGCTGAGATACTGTATAGGAGTTCAGACAGAAGTTGGTGATTTTCCCAAGAGATCGTTCCTTGAGCCTTCAACGTGAAAATCTAGTCTATAAGGTAGTAGAAAAACGTCGAAGGATGCAATCCCATGGTACTCGATAACTAGCATAGTCTTGTACTCGACTTGTTGCTTCACGAGTCAAAATAACATGTATATCAGTACTTTTCAATTCTCCTAGGTCAGGGCTCTTTTATAACAATCCTGTTTAAGCACTGAACGTCCGCTTTACATCCCCTTACTTTCAAAGAAATACCTCTACCATGTAAAGACAATGAATTGGGACTTCCTTCGGAAAGAAGCTATGCAGACGTGGGTGTATGAAAAGATATTGAATGATATAGGCACCACCCAACACTGTTAACTGTCTCATACATATTAATGAAAAGACAATACAACTTATTGCAAAGTTTATTTTTGCAGAACCGCAATCGGGATCATCATGGATGGTTAAAGTAGGTCATTTTCTCTCTATCTGTCATTTAAACAAATGAGATCCGATTTCATTAGAATTCATGGATTGAAATGGACATAATAGGGACGGAATTCTTTTTTTTATGAACGTTCGCAGATGGGAAAGAATAGACATTTAGAAAATTAAGTAGTCTATTCAGTAAATATAAGAACTAGGTCTATAAAACTTTTATTTTACCATATTTGATATATACCAGTCTTATCTCTTTAAATATGTTCTACACTTTTGGCAAAGCACTTTCGTAATCTTCATTTCTATCATTCCAAACATATTTTCAAAATCCTTAGCAGTCAACGTCTTTAATGTTATACCAGAATCGTATGTACAGAGGATTTCCAACTGATTAATCACTGAGTAGCTACCAACGTTATAGTTGTCTAGTCCTTTAGTTCTTATCGAATTCCACTGCTGCAATGCGGCCACTAGTCTGAATGAATCAACATCATAGTCTCTGTGTTGAGATTTTAAGTGGCTGAAAATAGTCATCAAGAAACCCTACTTGATCTAGGTTTCGTGGTAATTAACAATAAACACTAAGGTGTCCCTGTAATTTTGAAGAAGCTAATACTTTCCTTGGGAGTTTAAACCCTGTTTACCTCATTTCGCAATATGAGGCATTATCACTGAACTATTCAGGCCGCGATTTCCCTTGTTCACTTCACTATCAAGCACTTATCTGAACTGTGAGTTGGATGTCAAAAAGCGCAAGTGGTTGTACACGCTTAGAATCTTGACAGCTCAGCTTATCTGTCTGTTCAACAGATTATGTAATAAGATATATATATATCATAATACTTGGCTTACAAAATGTTCTATTTAACCCACTTTTGTCTATTAATTCCTGCCATATATCGAGTGATATTTTGAATATAACTCATCCTCCCCCCGAAATGCTTTTGACTTACTGACTGATTTACAATGCTCTGGTACGGCCGAGAATGCGGAGAGTCAGCTCTCCCTCTAGAAATGCTCTCAAGTGACCACGTGCATACATCCACTGACAAGGAAGCCCTATTCACTGCCTTCTCGCTACAAGGGTGTTGTTTACGAAATTTTTAGGACGAAAAGCGAATGTCTAGTGCTTTAACCGGGTTGGTGGATATGAAGGATCCATCTAGGGGAGTTGGAAAACCCTGATTCCAAACCAATGGTGCACATGGGCTCCAGTATCCTGCGGGAACAAATGGTGTATGAACCAATCGTTGGCCACCGGCTACCATGGGACTGCATCTCCTTACGATGCTCCACTGCCTTGCGGATTAGACCTTTAGGTCGGAGGCTTCGAGCGTGGCCACCTAAGAAAACCACCTGTTTCGGTTTGGGCACCCTCGCAGTATCACAGCCCTCACACATATCAAATGAAATCTGTGTGGCGCATATGTATTTGGCGCCCCCTTGTGCCATTTTTTGTGTTTAAATAAATAAACTAAAACTGATCCCAAAGCCCATTTCGAAATGTAATTCAGTACTTTCCTCGGACCATTTAGAACTTGATTTTCAAGTAACAAAACTAAAGATTGATTCAGATATTCCTCAATCTAATGATGATAACTGTTTAACATGCCTGTATTGTTGTCCTAGTAGGTACCTTAACTCTCTGTGTGTGTGTGCGCGCGTCAAAATGCAATCCTCATTAAATTAAATTTTGTTTTATTTTTCTAATATTTCAGTCATCCAATAATAGTCGGAATTTCTTATCTACCATATATGACAATTCATTTACAAACGAACAACATTTTCAACAACCTCAGAAACAATCTATGTCTAATTTATCACAAATGAATTATCTTCCTCAACCTTCTAGACATCCATCTTCAATGATGAATGATCATTTCAAAGATTATAATAATACTCTTGCTACTACTGCTACTACTTCCACTACTACTATTAATAATGATAATAATAGTAGTAGTGAACGTTTTACACAGGACAAATCAAGTGATTTGAATAATTTAGATAAAAATGAACAACAATCAAAAGTAATGATATTGTTTGTTTGTTTCTTCGTCGTTTTAATCATTTTTGTATATATATTTGATTGACATCATTAGATGGCGATTGGACGTAGTCGACAGGATACCCTGGACGCGGGTTTTGTGCTAATTGGCACTTGTCAACAAGGTGTACCTGTAATCTTGAGGGAACTGATATTCCCTGGCGGATTCGATCTCGCGTTACCCAGCTTCACACTCAGAGACGTTACCACTGAGCTATCCGAGCCGCGACTGACCTCCTGTAGGACTGAGATGTAATCACAATTGATTGATCACTGGGTGGTGATCAATGTCATGCGTGTCTAGTCTTTATTAGTGCAGATCGAATGCTATGGATCATGCTTGACATAATTTCCTCTAATGATTTGTCAAGAAGGTGGTTTAGTGGTGGTTTAAACCTTTTATTTTCAGTCACCAAGTTATTGGTCTGAACTCCGTTCAGTCTATTTTAATAAATTCATTGGATGTCAACTTAGTGTTATAACAAAAAGGAGTGCTCGTTACAATATTTAGATGTCCTAGGTTCAATCCATTATGTGTTCATGATTGTGCAATTCTAAAGAGATCCTAAACCTAGAATTATTCTCTAACTGAAATATAAAATATAAGTGGTAAGGTTTCTCTTGGAATACTTTTTTTGTCACAAAATAGGATGCTAGACCTCCATTTAATTCAGATGACACTTTACTCCAAGCTTCATAGTTCCACGCATTACGGTCAAGTAAACAAGCTTTGAGTTTACATCACATGTAAATACTCAGGTATCTGATGCAAATATATGTCATTCGTTCAAGTTACTCACAATTACTCACATTAAGCACTATCCATTCTATACTATGGTTAGTTTGAAATGAATTCATCCTATATTGATGATAAATTGTTAGTTTTATAATTACTAATAACCGTTCTTAATGTCATTAAGGCTGGCGAATTATATTTTCAGTATGACGATTGACTGAACAGTAGATCAAAGATCCAACCTTCGTTTCATTTGCTCTTGTTTAACCGTTCACATAGTATTACTAGAATTTACACAATAAATGTAGATCAAAGACGAGCATATAAAGACGTTTCTTAGAAAACGAATTACAAGCAAACAGTAATTCACAATTCACATTCAAATAACGAGTTGACATTTGGATTTCTTCTTTCGATCATTTAGTATACTTACCATTTATGCAGTCACTTGATTTCTAGTCAGTTTTTTCTTTCTAGATCACTAAAATGTATCATTTCATTAGAAATCAAACAAAATACCATACCATGATAAGTGTCAGATATCTATATACATACCGACCACCGACTACCTCGATGTGCGATGTTTTGTTGTATAGGAGTAGATTGGAAGAAAGCTAGGGGTGGCCAAACCAAAACATGACACAAGTCCATGAAGTCACTGACAAGTGGACTGAGTCATGTTGGTAGGTGTAGACTACCTGGTTGGGATCCTCGAGGTGATAGCAACCGATGGTTAGAGACCCTGAATGACATGACTCAAAATCGTTTGCAATGGCGCAGGTGCATCCACTCTTTGTGTTCTTCCAAATTCTAATCTTCCGAATTCTTCATGTCCCTTTCTTTTTTCTCTTCCCAAATTTATTTCACTGGATTATACTCCTTGAATAACATTTTCAAACCCTAATTTTTCTGATTACAACTTATAATTTTACTACATCTAGCACTACGGGATTTTAATCGACCACTGCATCTCTGCGCTAATGTGGTGTGGCAACTCGAACTAATGTACGTACGTACGAAGTTCTACGTTGTTACTGACTGACTGACTGATATACATACTTTTAGTCCCACTATTTTAACCCTCCTCTAAGGTGTGCTCATCAAACTAACCTATTCGTCTATTATTCAGTTAGCTTAAAAGCTATTAGCTTTTTAATCAACAGTTTAACTCTTTTGATGAAGCTCAGTGAAATAACAGTGTATTCCTTTGAAAAAATTACCTTTCTTTATACTGTTTCATAGATTTATGCTTACAACTGATTTGAAATGTCTACTTTGATCAACATTATTTGATCCAAAATAGAATTTATTGTACTAGGTGTACGTGTGTGTGAGAGAGAGAAAGACTTAACCAAGTACACTAATCTATTACTATTATTATTACATTTATTCAATATTATCATGTTTATAACAGTAAAATAATCATGATATCTTACTTCTAGAATGGGGGTTTGTGGAGATTGTAGTGATTTTAATAGTTGAATTCATGGGTCGATATAAGCTAGACCGCCATTGTAAGGCTGTCTACTACTTCCAGGTTTACAATGGTGGTCTAGTTTAAATCGACTCATGAATTCAACTATTAAAATAATATCCTAATTGGTAGTAGATTGGGTTTCTGACATTTCTCATTTTCAAAGCATACATTACGTATGCTCAATCACACTGTTTATGTTAACTCTTTGATTTTGGTTGGTATAAAAGCAGAAGGTTGAAAGTAAGCTACGTTCAACCAAACCAAGATGTGATATCGGTTCACGAAATCATTAACTGCTAGTCTGAAACTGCTAGTCTGAACTGTGTTGTTAAATATAAGTTACCCAATGTGGATCTGTACGACTATCGTAACTAGTTTTAGGAGACTTTGTGTAACGTTGCTGAGAATCCATTACAATCGTACGAATATATTTACTCTTTGTATTTCCTTAGGTTTTGAGTTTCAAAGTTAATTTAAATTGTTTCTATTCCATAAATTTACCTCTTCTTCTCGAGGAGTATGGTCTATCCCTTATTTTTCCTATTACCTCTAATATTTGTCTTGATAATTTCAATTCACTATAGTGTAACATTTTTAAACTGATTGGTAAAATTGCTTACGATTAATTAGATGATCAACGACGAGGAGTCATAACTTAATTTCATAATTCCGTTGTATGGACCATAGAACCTGACATATACATACATCAATTCCGGTTTTCATACCATATTAACACAGAGAAGTAAAATTATTTCAAGATAAATCCCAGAGTAATAGAAATAGTAATAGTGTCAGTAACCTCAGTAAGCGTAATAGAAAAAGAAGAGAAAAAGTTAAAAGGAGATTTTAGCACTTCGGTTCTAATGGATGACAAAGAGATGAATAGACTTGTGCCATTTCAAACAATTCTGAGTCATGTCCGTAACCAATTGGTCACAACCAGGTAGTCTGCACCTACCTACAACGTATATATTCTTGTACACACATCTATTCAGAAGAATCATTGTACCTTTTTTCCGTGTCCAATGACATTCACATTAGTCTTGTGTGTATATATATCAGTAGATTCGTTTAAAGGCAAAGCAAAATCACAAATACCAGATTATGTAGTGATTTGTTTTACTTTACAGGATGGTTGGTTATCAGGTTGGTTTGGACGTCTCAAGAAAAATGGTCCAAAGAATGTTCATCTACCGGATGATTCTAAGCCTTCTGTAAGTTGTTGAGTCCTGATCGACTTTGTTTATAGGTTTGCGATATATATGTTCATTATAATTATGCTAATAACCATGATTATTGTATACTACTCACTAACCAACCAACCAAACTGATCAGTGATATTCTACCCAAACATACACATGCGCATACCTTTTCTGTTACTTTCTAATAGTTCATAATTTCAGTGATAACAACGAATATGTCTTCTTAAGAATGGTATGCGATTAATACATAATGATATATAAATAACCCGTAAATTAGATTTCACCATACTTTATTATTTTATATTAATCAAAATCACTTCTTGTTGCTGTGTTATTCAGTTTGTAGTTAACTTACACTCTTTTCTACGGATAATTTGTGAATTAGGCAGGATTTTTTTCCCCAATTTTTTTGAGTGTGAAACTATTTGTGTTTCTAACGCAAATTCATTTTTCATCTGTTGATGATTCGTAGATTTGTTAACACAGTTTGTATTACAGAGACGAATTTATTGGTGTTTTTGGTTGCATAACAACCGGTACTTTATCACAATTGAGACTATCGTAACCAATGGTTGGAGACTCTTGGTGACATGGCTTAGAATCGATCACAATGGCGTCGGTGTATACACTCCCTGTCTTCCCTTAAACTAAGTGATTAAAATCGCTTCATACCTTTCTTTCTACGAATCAATTTTTTCTTTTTGTACTATATCTCTATATGCAATCTTTCTCTTATATATTACCACATTTGACATAACCACTGCTATGAATCCGGTGTTCATCTTGCTGTGCTAATGCGGTATGGCAACCTGGACCAATGCATATATGTGCCTTGTCCTACGTTGTAGCTGACTGATTGAGATGTTTATGTTTTTCCACGCTTTTCAATAAACCGTGATTATAATATAACTTCACGCTCATTTATCATATGTAAAGCAATAGTTTTATCATTAGTATAGGGAGTCTGTGAAGATTGTTAAAGTTTATAGTTTACACCATGGATGTAGTATAGTTTAAATAAATCATTAGAAACCAAGAAGCACTGGATAGTTGTTCTGCTATAGTGTGGAACTTCTTAGCAATGCTCATCTCATAGTCTAATCAGTAAGTTGGTATCTAATGGTTTATCTAGAAGTCACATACTAGAACGATATAGTTGTCCAGCGCTATCTAGTTTTCACTAACAGTCTAACTAACATCAGTCCGTTATATAAATTAGATGATGATTTCATATTATACTGTAAATATCTGACTGATATAATTCGGTCAACACATTAATGGTCAGTCAGTCAGCTACAACGTAGGACCAGGCACATATGTGCATCGGTCCAGATTGCCATACCGCATCAGCACAACAAGATGAACACCGGATTCATAGCAGTGGTTAGGTCAAATGTGGTAATATATAAGAGAAAGATTGCATATAGAGATATAGTACAAGAAAAAATTGGTTCGTAGAAAGAAAGGTATGAAGCGATTTTAATCTTAGTTTAAGGGAAGACAGGGAGTGTATACACCGACGCCATTGTGATCGATTCTGAGCCATGTCACCAAGAGTCTCCAACCATTAGTTATGATAGTCACGCGGACCCCAACTAAGTAGTCTGCATCTACCAACATGGCTCAGACTAGAAGTTAGTGACTTCAAGCACTGATGCCACGTTTTGGTTTGGCCGCCCCTAACTTTCTTACAACCATCTCCAATACCGGATAGCATTGCACGTCGTGGTAATCGGTATTCAGGCATACGTAACACGTGGCCCAACCATCTTAGTCGATGAAGATTTACAACCTCATCAACTGATTTACCATCATTTCCTAATACCCTGCGTCTAACCTCCCTATTACTTACCGGGTGATCCCAGCAGATGCCAGCAATATTTCTAAGACATATGTGGTCAAATACTAGTACATTAATGGTTAAACAACTTGACTGGCCTAATATAATTATAGTTAGTTTAATCAACTGATAAAGTTGTTTTAGTGAATCGAATCATCAAGACATCGTTGATTGGTAACTTTCCTTACATTTTACCAATAAATTCCTGATCAGTGTATAACATATGTCTTCATAATCTTAGAATTAACACTCCTAAACTTAATACTTCTAACAACAAAAAATACAACCTTATCCCCTGAAGTTGATAGTTTAATAACAGGCTATTTGTAATTCCATTTTAAAAACATCCCTCATCCGTTCAACAATCTCTATCTTCCCCCATTCTGACTGACTGATCCACTTTTTTCAAGGTCGCCTGTCTAGTTTAGTTTTACTAACAAATTGATACGTCTCCTAACAACTCAATTCTATAACTGAATGAAATAAACATTCTCAATAGTTGAAATCATGAGTCAATTGAAGCTAGACCACCATGTAAAACCTCGAACTACTGGACCACCGTTTCGTCCTATTGTGGGACTCCTCAGCAGCGCGCATCCATGACCTCGCCCCCTGCGAGTTTTGAACCCAGGACCTACTGGTTTCGCACGTAAATTCTTAGCTCATAGACTGCTAAACCGGGACCCAATGAGAAATCTGTGACCTATCCAAAGTCCTACATTGACAATTAGCATGCGCTTAGTAGTGACTGACTTCAGTATGCGATTCTTGGAGTCCTAGCAAGAAGCCATGAATAATAGTAGGGTTCGATCATGTCAAGTGTGAGATAGTTATCTACAGCAGGCAATGAACTATGATCACACAATATCGTGAATAAAGTTAGTTATGTATACCGTTGAATACCGGCTCAGTAATGTAGAGGCTAGCGTTCACGCATGAAATGGAAGGTCCTGAATTCGATTCCCTATGATGGAGTCGTGGATACGCATTGTTGAGGAGTCCCATACTTGGGCGAAATAGTGCTCTCAGGTTTTGAATGGTTGTTTTACTGAGGTCAGTTTGTGATCCAAAAACTATAGGAAATTTTATACCATTAATAGCAATTGTTTACTGATAGTTGTTTAATCGTATTGTTTCACTTGAGTATAACCATCTTTTCCAAGTTTGTCTCACTGTCTTTTTACGGGTTATGTATATTTTACAATTATAGATAGTTTGGGATGATCGCCTTAAACAATGGATTGATGTGAATGATCCTGACGGAAGTGAATCAAACAAGGTACCACCACCTCCACCAGCATCTTCATTTATTATGCCAAAAAATGATGACAGTTCAATGAGTAATAGTAGTAGTAGTAATAATATTAATAATAATAGTAGTGCGCTGAATCCACCTCTGTTTCCTACTTATCATCCAGTCTCTGTTCCTTCAGGGTCTATTTCATCACGTACTAGCAATTCTCGGTCACGTTATGTAAATATATTGGCTAGTGATACTTTAGAATCTGGAGCAAATAAATTGATCAATCCACTTCAACCCCCACTTCCACAAACAATTAACAATCCACGTTCATAAAACTAATGAGATCTTTCACATTTGTGTGTAATCCTTTTTTGTCTTCTTCATAAACTATTCTATCTATTAGGTAGGTAAAATCTTATATATTTGTGGTATGTATAATCCCTATTTGTGATTATTATCATTAATCTTAACCATTTTGTATATTGTAATGTGGTTCTTTTTACTCTGCGCTTTATCTCTCTCCTCCTCTCTCTCTATCCATCGTTAACTAACAATGAAATGTAAGTCTCTACGGCCAAATTCATTTTTCATATGATTAGAGATGTGTGTATCAGCAGTACCTTAGAGCCCGATATAAATGTTTATAGAAGTAAGTTGGTACATAAAATCTTTACAGTAATCGTTAAAAATGTGATTAGATATAAAAATGCTTTGAAAAAGTAGAGCTAAGTATAAAGTATTGTTAAAACTGAAGATCTTAAAGGAAGATTAAAAGTGAATTACATATGCTTCATTAAGATTGCTTCTAAAGTATTTTATACCAACATTTCAAATGACTGATCACTTTTATTGCCCGGATCCCAAATAAATGATGTGTCCCTATCGAAATACGTCAAAACAACGGTCATAGATTTTTATGACGTTTTAGTCTGATCACTCCGTGCTTCTTTTTGTGCGTTAAAGCAAACAGTAGCTTGGCCTATGGTATAATCCACATCCCAACCAACCTAGTCGATAAAAGTTCAATAACTCTTCATCCAATTTGCTATATTTGCCTAGCACCTTGCATCTAACCTCAACACTATTCACTCGGCAATGTGTACAACTTGGAGATTGTTGTTACGCTGGAATTAATCGTAATATTTAGGTCCATATAGGTATCACTGTAGGTCTTCCATACAGATTTTCACTTGTTCATTTTTCAGCTATGTTCAATATACTTACCGTGAAACCGGAACCTGCTACCTTCCGCTTTGAACGCCAACCCTGAGATACAGGTACATCCATCTGGATCTCACATAACATAAAACACATTCTTTTGAATAAACTGCTAACCACGACCAAAGTTTGCTAAAATTTGTAACTACACGCAATCTGCTGAGGATATTCAGATTCCAGTAGAGGCTGAAAGTCCTTAATATCAACAAGAGGGAAACTTATATGCTTATATATATCCATGATGCTCTAATCATGTTCAGTTTTATATTGTCAGTTTGCTTTCTCACTATGCTTTAATGCATAAATTGTGACATCTTAAACTAATGCATATTTATGCCCAGATATGTCACTATCTATGACTCTGCCTCATTATATTTATTGACATTTGCCAAGTGCATAATTGTTTAGTCGGCTTTTTATATATTGACTAGACTTATTTGTTAAAATACTCGATTTTGCTGGTGCACATATATCGGTAGAATAATAGCCAATTACATAAATCTGTTCTATGCAAAAATGAGTTACCCGTTCGAATTCATTAAGTTCAACAACAATTCATCCGTTATTATCAAGCCTTTTGTTTTGTTATGGTATAAAGAATCTTTCTGCTTGAATATCAATCAGTCAGTTTTATACCCAGCGTAGAACTTGGCTTCTATGTACAACACGTTCAAGTTACTACAACTCATTAACATAATCAAATGAGGTTGTCAAGGTAAATCTCAAAGAAGTATGGGTAGTAACAATATTAGTGGGAATAGAAAAGATTAAGCATAGATGATATGATTCGAGAAAGAAAAATATGGATTAGTGGAATTTAAAAAAAAAATTAAAAGGTAATTTTGGGAGATAAGAATCGGAGAACAAAGAGCGAATGAGCCTATATCATTGTAGACGATTTTGAATTGTCACCTAGATTCTCAACAGTCAGTTATACTAATCACACGGACTACAACCTAATCGTTTGTAATTACCTACATGATCAAGTAACAAATAACAGTTTTTCAGTATGGGATTATTGGAGATTGTTAGATTTCGTTGAGATCATGAACACCGATCTATGTTGAACAATCATTGAAAACGTGAAAGCACTGAACAGTAGTTTCGTCCTAGTATTAAACTCTTGAGCAGTGTATATTCATAACCACACAACCGTATTGGATGTAAGGATGGTACTCACTGTATACAATGAAAAATGGTCGTACAATTTCATGAACTAGTTTAAATTGAACCCCGGTTCACGCCTAGAAATTATGTTGCTTTTGGATGTTATTGTTTAATATCACTGAAAAATTAACCCATGTTTTTTTTCTTTTTCAGCAATTACCCTCCAACAAACTGTTGTATTCATAATATTACACCATGAATCATATGTATGTACGTACATGCATGGATCCACGTGAACTCAGTGAGTTTTGTTCACTCCCAATTAAAAAAAAAAAGAGAGAGGAGTTTTTAAAGCACAATTCTAAGTATTACATGAATCAGTGAGGAATAATACATTTTAATCTAGAAATAAACAATTTCTTAATACAAAAATGAATTTTCCCTTTATCTCTTCCAGTTGAAAAAAGATAATGAATTATATAATTTATATACAATTGACTTCTTTGATTAGTTATTATTTCCCATTCGGTTTCTTTTTAATTTCTCGAAGGTTGTTGTTACTAAGCTCTTTTCTTGTTCGTCTTCTTCTTCTTCTACTCTGGAAAGCGTCATGAAATTTAAACTATTTTTGCCGCCACCCCTCCTCTCCTTCCACATTTGGTTACAGCTCATCATCACTTTAATATTGTTATTATTTAAATTGCACACAATGATTCCCTAATCTGTGATGTTGTTGATAATGATCATATTTCATGTTCATACTATCTTGTGTTTTTCTTCTTCTTTCTTCGCTTTCTCGTTTGTCTTTTGTTGAACATTTTGTTCAATTGTTAATATTGATGAAATTCTTCCTTCATTCCCACCCCACCCCCATCTTCATCTTATTATTTTGGCAATCTCTGTTTATTTTAGTTAATTTGTTGCAAGAATGTTCTAAGATTGAAAACAAAAGTACACACATACACACAGTGACAAAAATGTTTTTTTTTAAAAAAATTACTTCCCCCTATTTTTAACCGGTATTTCTTTTGGTGTATATGTGTGTGTGTGTGTGTAAAAATCATAAATACACATGGCTAAATATAAGTTTCTCTTTAATGGTGATTTATTGTCGATGTTGTGTAAATATCCGATATTATTATTGTTGTTCAGACTTTATTGTATACCACTTACATGCTAATTAGATATAGTACCTGAATCGTGGTGTTATTGTTTATATTTTGAGTATGGAACCTAACACCTTAAGCTAATATTATCACCATTATCTTACCTAGCAGTAGGCTATTTGGTTTTAAGTCTCCATGTGTGGATATCAAAACTAGGATGTAGATATACTAGTTTGTGTAAATCAGACAAAACTCGCGTTCTGTACTAACCATTATTACAAAAATATCATCAACCTGTAGCCAAAAGGATAGGTTGTATCGAGGCATCTGTAAACAATAAGATTTTCAGTGTGTTAGGTTGAGGCTAGATCATGAAGGTACTTAAATGTTTGTATTGTTCCCCAAATGCCCTGGTACGCCCGAGAGTGGGGAGAGTCAGCTCTTTCATATGGCCACGTGCATACAACCACTGACAGGGAAGTCCTACCCACTGCCTTCTCGCAACACGAGTGTCGTTTACGAAATTCAGAGGACAAAGCGAATGTCTGGCGCTCTAACCGGGTTAGTGGACACGGGGAGTTGGAAAACCCCGATTCCAAACCAATGATGTGCATGAGATCCAGAGGAAACAGATGTATGGACCAACCGTTGGTCACCTGCTACCATGGGATTGCATCTCCCAACGTTGCTCTACTGCGTTGTGGATTGAGTTTTTATGTCAAAGGCTCGGGGTGTGGCCCCCCTAAGAAAGCCATCAGCTCCGGTTTGGGTGTGCGGGCAGTATCGCAGCCCTCACACAAATCGAACGATGAAGTGTGGCACATCTATTTTGTGCCTCTTTGTACCAATATTTATGTGTTTAAAGAAATAAATGTTTGTATTGCTTATTTCCATTTGTTTAGCGATAGGACAGATTATACATTTGTACTGTAATTAGATCACTTAACAGCATAAATGAGAATGTTCAGTAGGGAAACATTGTCTGTTTCTAGCACAAATCAATCATAATTCATACTCAGATACTGCAGCCGCATTCGACTACTGATTTTATATACCTCCTACCCGGTATCTAGCTCTGAGGTACATTTTATGTAGGATGACTAATCGGCTGTTCGATTTGAAAGATGTGCAACGCGGTTAAGTGATTTGACGGCTAAATCACTTTACGACCATTTCTACGTAAGATGGGGGTTTATATTTTAGCAGCGATAGCGGTGCAAATTCAGCAATCATTTCGTAAGAACATCTTGTCCTAATGAAAGATATTAAAAGAAATTCTTTGTGAAACTATGATGTGCAGTAAAAATATCCCTATGCAGCATACAATAATAACAATACAATCGCGCTATTAGTAATTGAAAAAAATGAATAGTTCATATTGTGATCGACATTTAACGGAATTGTGGACGATGCGTTAAAGCGGTAGTTACTAAAAAGAAGGTCCTATCCTAAGGAACACTTCCATAGTAACATACATCTTGAAAGCGGTTCCGTTTAATAGGTGGGTAAGGAAGTGGAAAATGATATGATACATAAGAGAAAAATCACTGGAACTTAACTCATATAGTCGTTAGGTAGAAAATACTAAGAATACTTTAAAGGTAGCAGTTGCAACCTACGTTGTTTGTCGATGTATACTGCTTGGGCATTCTACCATCTTACATAATGCAGTTTATATCAGTACACAACACTATATTATCCAAAGCTAGGGAGCATTAAATACCAGGAACCACTCCTCTTCTTTACTGGTAAAAACCTAAATGATTGATAAAAATCACTATCGTTATAGTGGCTAAGAAACAACCAGAGGAACGTTAATAGTGAAGACTAATTATGACTAATATTACCACGGATAATAAAGCAAAACTAGTAGCATTCATTTCCTGATAGATTATGGAGATAATACTGTGGTACCATTCATATTCGCTAATTCTTACAATTACTACCCAATGCATATGTGCATTAATAACAACCTTAATTTGCAGCTTATGTACACCATTTACATGGGCATTTATTATTGCAATAGTGTAGCTTCCAATTAACGTTGCTTTGTGCACGTATAATCTTCACACACTGGTTTGAGATAAATGTTATACGTAGTGTTAGCTTGCATGGTTTAAGAAATCTTAACTATACGAGTTTTGTTTAGTGGCACAAACTGTCACAAAAAAATCCTTCACGTTGACCCAACCGCATAACACAAAAAATAACCCTGTATATCACACAGTAAAAACGTATACTAACAGTTTCTAAGAAACTTCTTAATTACAACATTGATATTAGAAAAACACATGCTTCTCAGACATTCAATAAATTTACTAATCACGTTCTACATAATTTTAGACTCAGATGCACCTGTATTGACATTTTTAAAAATGAATACACTTGATTCTAGGCTCTTTACGAGGATCACTTCATCATGAAGTGGCTAGTTTACATGAATGTGCAGATATTTCACAACCAACTATAACAACCACATGCCAAAAATGTCAGATACCTTACTTTTGCTTCAAAGTGCATGTTTGATAAATAAATCATCAAAGATAATAGGAACTCGATAGTATATAACTTTTATTATGAAATGTAGTCAGAGCGTCTACATACAATAAAGCTCACTGGGGCCAATTACGAGTCACATTGGAAAAGAGCCAGGGAATACTAAGTCTTCACTTCGTCTGAAAAGAAAACTAAGAACGATATTCAACTAAGTATCCTGAACATTGGATCGGTACGCGAGAAACACGAACTTATAAGCACTTAGGACTAAGTCTAAAACAGGTTAAATTGGTGCAAGCCCTTACCCTGATACGTAATTTTCAAGTTAGCTTGTCAAATAAACCCTACCACCAAAAGGAAAAAACGGAACCAATTGTCAATTAATAAAAGATACAGGCATGATCAATATTATTTAATCGACCGACAGCTTGTGTTGTTCATGTACGATGATGATAATAGTAGTATTAAATACACTGATAACTTCAGGATTCCCATCGCCATTATAAGTTTAATGATTTCAAATAAACCCTAGTATTTGGCGAAATATTGCAAACATAATATAAGGACCGATAACTTTAGGAGGTGTAAAGTCAACGCAACCAAAGGCAGCTTACTCAAGATGACATGCTTTTGGTTTATTATCGGTTGTGAGGCTATGGTAGGCCAATAACAACTTTGAACAACTCTGAACAGTGGTTTTCTAGGTGAGAAACCATCAGTAATTTTAACGTCAATCCCGCTCATCTAAGCTTTTCATTTACGTCCATCGCACTTTCGCTACTCTCAGATTTTTGTTCCAGGCCATACCGTTACTTTCAGTCTTTGCTAAGAAACACGTTCAAGTAGCTGTCGAGCTATTTCTCGGCCAAATACAATCCTTGAGGTCATCATGAAATCGGCCATGAATGTGGTTCGCCACACCCGAGTAAAAAAAGTAACCCACTTAAAGAGAGCATCTATTGCAATAAAGCAGATGGAGAAACATCTAGCTAATCAGCCTCAAGTGTCAAGAATATATCTATAATTTCCACACCAACACCGAAATAATTAGCTGTATGTTGAGGACAACTTTTCTGAATATTCAATACAAATAATAATGTAAATTTGATATAGCATAGGTGAGTTACACTAAGATAGCACCATATTGGTGAGCTTCTGTATAACTTTAAAACTAGTTGAAATTTATCGCAAAATCAGTATAAAATTATGAAATAATCATCCACATTGAAATTACAAGTGCGCACGGAACAACAACAAGATTCTAGCTTTCCTTCACGACATTGGCTGCAATGAATTACTACTAGAATTGGGAGAAACACAACCTCTTTGAAAAGTTTGCGGACAGATAAAATGGGATCATGAAAGGATTAATCCTTATCCAATAACATGTAATTAGTAGTTCGTTGAGTCTCCCTTCAAGTTTCAATTAGTGATTACTATATGCTTGATACTGAAATTGACTACACAGGCGAAATATTACCATATAAAAACCACCCGAAATGAACATTTGATGCATAGGTAACACAAATGAATAGCATATTCATGTACTAACAATCTTGTGGTTTAAGGTATTAATCAATTTTAATAACTCAACACATGAAATACGAAGAAAAATTTATTCCACAAAATAATAAGCTTGTCACATATCCATTAACGCTTTCCACCAACTCTAGGAGCAGCCTTCTGAGTGATCTTAGTAGCTTTTTGTTTTGAAGGAGCTACTTGAGGCTTTTTCTTTTCGACCTTCTTCACCTTCTTCTCCATTTCTTTTTGCTTTTGTTTTTCTTTAGCTGCACTAAATTAAGGTTGGACTCGGAAAAAGACTAACTTACCGTATGGCTTGGTCACGCATCGCTTTACGAACTTCTGGCTTTTGATTACGTTTAGCCATGATTTCAGCTAGACTTGCCCCTGCAATACCTCGAGCACTCTTAGTAACACGTTTTGTTCGCTTTTTTACCAGTTCTTCACTTATCCCTTTTTTGTACTTCCTTCGGTAGAGCACCGTCCAGCTTATCTCACGCGGATTACGCTTTAAAAAATGAGACCGTTCACATTTTTTGTTTATGAAGTAAAACCCACGACCGTCAATGCGGACAGCGCGTTTCCCATGTCCCGGATAAACTTTAAAACCGCTGTAGGAACAAACTTCCAACCTAAAGTCACAATGATTGATTTATATGAACAGGAGTCTGGTGAGTATGAAATGTAACATGAAACATCTAGTACAAACTGATTAGCATTAACTACAGATATAACTTAAACATTACAAGGTGAAACCTCACCACACCAGTCTGAATAGTTTATCAAGCTGCAAGCCTAGAAAACAGTATATTGAACATCTAGCTTATTGCAAACTTCTAACAGGAATAAGTGATGGACGCAAAAGAATGAAGCATGTTGATGAGGACGATCTGTCTTCGTTTGGGAAGAACTTTGCTGCAGACACAACAACTGATTATTTATGCAGCGACTAATATCTATATCGATCAAGTTTAAACAGCAGTGACAAGAAGACACACTAGCTCACAAAACAACCATTATGAAAAATACCCATTAATCCGCCAATACGGTTTTTAAAACCTGAAGATGTGAAAAAAGTTTTGTTGGCTGCACTACTCAGTACCAATATGTTAATAACATTACTGACAAATGGTAGATTACGACTCTCTACTGTTTTAAATGGTATGAGCTAACAGTTTGACATAAATTACTAATCCTTTCATTATAGACCTTTAGTGTAAAAAACGGCCTGTACAACTAATAGTACCTCTAATAAACCAACTTGATTAACACTAGCAAAAGTACTACCGAACTTTTAACAGAAAACATGAGAACCCACTTCATCCTCGTGGTAACAACCGCGCTAGTAGTGAGTAAAACAAGTTAGCATATAACCTTAATCATCTTAAACAAAAAGTCACTTATATACGAAGTTCTTTTAAAAGACTTTTATGACTGACAGATTATACTACAAATGGTCGAAATGGTTTACTTAGGTATTATTCTACAAATTTTATGACTAGCCAATCAGAATTTTGTTGTTTTAAGGAGGATGTTTCAGCGAAATTATGAATTTTAAACTCGCATATCTTGTCTAAACTTTTACGAAGAAACATGCTGTTTATTGTTGGCAAGATTATGGCGAAGCTGAATAAACCACAAAGTGTTTCAGCTTCCCCTGATACTGCCGACAAATATGGCATTTTCCTCCGAATATATATTCACAAAGTATTCGTTCGACCGGTAAGCAAGATAGCTCTAAAACCTTTTTATTTAATATAAACCACAAAGCCATTAACAGTAGTACGTCACTGTTTAAAGCTGGCCGCAAAAATTGATGTGTGTAATGACCCGGGGATTACATATCGTAAGACATGTCATGAACAGAAATCTATTTTTTCGGAGTTCCAGTTAACAAGCTTATATGAATTATCAGATCTAGTGACTCATGGCCTGGTGCATGATGCGATGGTAAAGCAATGACCCAATTATCTGTCCGATTAGCTCGCTAGTTAACTGGATACCTACCATGTAACCGTTTTGGAAAAACAAGAACCGTAAAACAACGATGGAACACTTGATGACCCACATCATTCTTTCATTGAGTCACAACCTTACGGCTTATCTCGTATATCAAGATAAACCATCGAAATTCATCTCCCGATATGTAGGCTTACTTTTCGTATTGTTTACCTCTTATGAATGAAACAGCTGAAAATAATGTTAAAGCTGTATCATCTGAATGCATAAAAGATCGTGTTGTCTTGAAGCAACCCACAGACTTCATCATTCTAACCGAAACACAGTACCAGAAACACAAAATGAATTGTCCTTCAGTACTTTTCGGCAAGTCTTTCAACTTCAGGTGTTCCATTACTTAGACATTTCCAGCTTACGACAATTATATTTACTGACCAACGGAACTCACTCTTGATGAGTCTTAAAGCTTTTCTTAGATTACAAGACATGGTACCAAAGAGATCTAGCTTTATCCAGTTTTGTCATCAAGGTCCTAGGTAGTATAAATAGCACCTTCAACGGAAAAAGTAAAACCTACTTAGGGTTTCCATGACTATAGATAATTGCTCTTCCGGATTTACCTGATGTTTTATAATGCTACATGATGGTCCCTCATCCTGGCTACAACTACAGTACATATTTGATGTGTAAACGTTGGAAACCCTCCAGATTATTCTTTGATGATCTAAGTGTATAAATTGTGTATTCGTAATGTCCTTATCATATATAGTACAGCATTAATTTGTAGATTAGCAACATCGGAAACCTTTTGAATGTGTGGATAATCGGTGGCTTTTACGAATCGCGTTTGAACAGCAACGGTCTTTGACTGGTGGTCGAAATTACTAGCGAACTAAAGAAAATGTTATTTCCCCTTGAAAATTTAATAAGTTAAAGATAGGGAGCCATACACTGTTTCCTACATTACCCACAGGAACCTCCTAGTCTGTGATCCCATAGAAAACGCATCAAAATAATGAATAAAGCATCGCTTTTTGCTAAACATTGTACAAGATTCACTAAATACTTCTGTTCGACCAGCAAACTCTTTGTATCCCCTTCAAGGTAAGTAAGATTAAAGAAAATTTTTATTCATTTAACTGTGATTGCAGTTTAGCAATCCAGAAACACCGAACCAACAGTTTCCGCAGCTGAATAAGTGGAATAAATTAAATCTTCTTCTAATCTCAGGGGAGAAGCCGCCTTAGATTTAGAGTTTTGGCTAATTGCCCAGGTACGAACCGTATCAACGGGAAATAGATTTGAGGCATTCAGAAGACCTAACCCAAAATAAGAAGGCAAATAAAGTCTACATTCAGACCACTACATTAGTATCCATTGAGAGAGATTATTGCATGTGAGACTTTTTCTTTCTTGTTCCATAACCGCTAATTGTAGATATTGAGCCATCTACTGACATTATCTCTTGATCCTTTTAAATTAAGTTTTCACAGAATTTAGGTGTTTTATTCTAAAGATTCCTTATAAGTGCCAACTACCTGCTTTTAAAAAACGTCTCTCAAGCTTAGTATTGACTTGGATGTTTCAAAGAATAGTTAACTCTAGAACTTCGTGAATAACAAAAGCAGAACGAAAAGCATTGGTTGACAACCCACGAAACGCTGAAAATTTCATTACATATGAGACATTACACATTAAGTTAGCTGGTGATGATCATCAGATTACTTATATGAATGTTTAGCACTATTTCGTTTTATTAGAGTGCTTTCTAGCAATCGAAAAGACCCTCTATAATAAAGTAGATTAATATGTAATCGGCATTGAACCAACTCACTTTAACACAAGCATCGTACCACAATCTTTGCCCTTCATGAGCCAACCCTTAAGAATCACACGTCAGAGAGCCGAAACCTAGACACGTTCCCACCCTTTCTTACTGACCGTTGCTTCCATAAGGAATTCTTTGTCAGACAAAGAGCAAACTGTCCACTGGATTATCAATCCCTGCTGTAACTGGCTGTATCTAATGCACTTTAAGCAAACTTATCTATCAGTATTACTACCACATACCATCAACCTATCTTTAGCTCGTTCTTTTTCATCTCCTTTCACTTATATGCTTGTGTGTTCAGATTGTTAACGTAATTAATCACCCTATCTGCTACTTCCTACAACCAGATTTTTCGCTCTCCTGGCTTCAATGTTCTCCTCTATAATTTTCGTATAGCAACCAAGCAACCTCTCACATGATGTGACAGCTGCTGGTTCAAGGAACCCTACTGCGCTGAAATGAACGTGGTTGTTCACAATGGTGGACACACAAACTGACAAATAAATACCAAACTGGGTAGAACCAGCATAGTGAAACGGTCAAGTGAACATTATTAAGACCTGTAAATTTGCCAACACATCAGGAAGCTAGCCAGAAGAATTCATCTGTTTTACATCAGCGCACCGATAAGACACTAGATGCTGGAAAACGTTTATGTGACATGATAAATTGTTTAGTACTGTAATAAAATTCTAACGTCCAGTGAAAAGTGAAATTCAATTGATCGAGAACTTAGTGACTCTCTATATAACGCAAGGAAACCATCTGATTGAATATTTTTGGGAAATCGATCTAGAACGACTAGTTAATGGTTCATTGGCCTTCAGCATATGGGTGTATTTTTTTTACAGTGGTATGTCATTTGGACAGCATGAAAATCTAATTGAGGAAATGATGACAACGTGTGTATGTGATTCGCCATTCACATACCATTTATGATTGGCCAATACCATACTGTAATTTTCAGTATGTCATTACTTTATAACAGACAGAAGACAAATCTACTGTTCGTTTTCTAAATCCCGGTTTAAAACTAGGCTTAGATTTGATAACATACGCTATCTAATGCTTCTGATAACTAGGTTTATTTCCACATCACTTAAGTCAGTTGCTATATAAAATACCAAATGAAGAACCTTTGAAACTGGGAATAACTCAATAGTTATTTCATCGTAGATTACCATTCTTCAGAGTCACGTAATCCAGACAATCGAGTATTGAGATCGAGTGAGAATCTAGTGACCTGAAATAAGTCAGTTCATAATTTCGAATCTATATCTTATGTAGACAACGAACTACTGCACCCCTCTAAGACCCTGGCAATTCCATGTATCAATAATATATTTTTATTCGTCGTGTGGTTTTTATGATGAAGTTCAACTACCCAGGAAAAACTATTCAGGGAGAGGAAACAATAAATAAGTGTATTATGCCAATACATTACTTTTCAGAAAAGGAAATCCATGAAACTCTACAGTATCGAAACCATAGTCTTCATATCTAATGGTTAGACCAATTGAATTGGAGTCAGAAAGTTACCTATCCTTCCTGCTTCGATCAGTTCACAACATTATGTGACTCTTTTTATTACTAATCAGTATCCGGTGGTTCTTTAGCTAATATAAGATGGTGAAGACAAGTATTTTCAGACTCTTCATATCTGTAAAAAGTAGATAATCTTTTTTATAATAATTGTAGCATGATTAGTTGCGATAAGGACTTACTAAAAACATTACGTAACATAAAATTAGGATTAAGGTCAAGAACTTTGAAATGTAGAAACTGACATTTTACTCCAATACAGATTGATTGGTACAAAGTAGCTAATATCACGTCTATTTAGAGATTAATTTCTATCCAGTGGTTAATTAATGTAATGTCTCAGTTCCTTAAAAACTCTGACTCGAACATAGTAATAATATCGATAAATATGATGCTTATTGATAAGGTGATGGGTCCTAAAAGGACCATTGGTTTTCCCACAAAACTATAGGTGTATGGAACCTAGATCAATTATGTTTTCTTACTGATTGCCGCCAAAACATCTGTCAGTTTGTGAGGTTTTCACAGATCTCAATTCGATAAATCATAATAAACAGTCAATAATCGCTTGTTCATTTGTTTCGAAAAACATTCATTGTCTAATTATTTGCAACCGGTATTATCTACATTGTCCAGTAAGGTTTGTTTGTTTTGCTGTTGTTGTTGTTGTTGTTGTCTGCAAAATAAGTTCATGTTTTAATATTTAACCCGGTTAAATGATGAATTAATCACTCTATTTTCTCCTATAAAGATAAGATCATCATCAGAATCAGAATCATAGTAATTCATGTATACATATCTATTGATTTCTTCCATTTACCATAAGACTAGTATCATTACCTTGGTAATTTGTATAGCTTAATTTCACAATATACATCATTGAATTGGTTTGTATATATATCTTATCTTTTTTTTCTTCATAAATCACCTAAATGTTGGAGACAGACAATACAAATAGAATCCTTCAATAAGGTCAAAAATTGATCAACTGTCCAAATCTCGAACAGGTTGTTTAATTTTTATTAAATGACTGTATAAAGTTGTGTATAGTA